GATTCCACTGGGGAACATCTGTGGGAGCACCTTGACTCAGGATGTGCAGTGGTGAGTTTTGAAGGCTCTGCACATGGGCACAGTTTGTTTCTGTGTTGGGTGTCAGGTGCAATGCTGGTGTAGACATTGCACAAAAAAAGAGGTAAAAGGCTAAGCACAGTGAGGCACAACCATGAGAAGGCTCTAAAAATCATGGAAGAGGTGGAGGGCTGAACTGTCCACCAACACACCTTCAGTATCAATAAAACAAGTCTTGAAAAAGGCCAAGGACCTTGCAGCTCACACCAAGAAACCACACCAAGAAACCCTTGCCAAGGGGGCTGTTTTCTTGTATTCCAATTCTAAAACAAGCCTGACTGTGAGCAAGAGGAATGTGCTGACCTCCATGAGCCTGCCATGGCTCTGCCTGCTGGGATTCCATCCGAGCACAGAAGCCTTCACAAGGACTGGGAGCCTCCTTCAGGCAGAATCCAGCCTTCAAAAAGCAAAATCCAGATGCAGTCAAGCTTGCTACCAGTCCGAGAGAAGGCAAAGGTGTAGATTTGAAGATGGCTGAATATTTTCCCTGTTTCACTCTAACAGTGTTGTGGTTGGAGCCTGACTTTGGTTGCATTTAAAGCCAATGAAAACATGTGAGTGTAGATCCAGAAAGAATCTGACATTAAGTAAATCATAATTATTCTCTCTTCTAAAACAGAATATGGGTTACTTAGCACTCTGATGCCTGAACCATCTGTGAAAAATTAGTTAACTAATGAGCCAAAATACATTGCAGCTTCTATGTGGGTACAAGGTGTTAACAAAGTAAATACATTGCAGTTTCCCTGAGCATATTATCAGCCATATGATTTTTGGAGCCATGTGCTAGGCATTTTGTGTTTTCTTTCCTAGGAAGCTTCATTTCAGTTAATTGTCTCTCTCTTCAGTTCATGGGGAATACACAGAACAAGCTGTACATCATCTTGAGTGTATTTTGATGAAAGACTGAGAGGTGTGGGGTCTGGAAAGAAGATGGGTTGTTAACAGGGAACATTTTGTGTTTGTTCAGACCCTAGGAATGCTGACTTCTGTTTTATGGAACTTTAATGTCAATATGGCTGCTCTGAAGAACTTGCCCTCACAGATCTCCATTTCTCTTGGACTTTCTTTCCTCTGTCTTGGATAATTTGGCTTTTTTTTCCTGTTTGTGATCACTTGTCCAACAGTGGAGAAGAGTTCCTGCTGGCTAAATGGATGGGTTTGGCAGCAGGAAGACTATCTCATGTCAGACAGGATCACATCTTGGACTTGCTGGTATTGAAAGGTGTAATTTCTGCCCCCCCATCATTGCCCTTCTCAGCCATGCCCACTTCAAAATAAATTTCAACATCTGGAGGCCAAATGTATTCAAAGCCAGATTCACCTAGGCAGAAGAAGAAAGTTCCTTTAGCGGCCCAAGAGACATAACTGAAATCCTGAGAGGGATGTTTGCATCTACTACAACATGCAGAATTATTTCTGGATTTTCAACCTTGTTTTCCTACATCTGTGGCAGAATCCTAACATTAAGTTCCAATGTAGAAGCAAAAAAAAATATGATGAACTCTCATGTAGCATCTCTCTAGGATCCTTTCCTAACCAGCTATCCTAAATGCAGGAAAACTGGTCTAGCTACAAACCCAGCTTCTAAATCCAAGATAGGCCTGGGTCACAAACTGCCTTCTAACCTGACTCAGAGGCATTACTCTGTGGATGGAAGTGGGTGAAGATGGAGACTGAATAAGAGACAGGCTGACCGTGCTATACAGACTCCTCATGAATAATCACCTTGCTCAGGGCAACCTCTCACGTGCAGGACCCCAAGGGGAAGACAGACACTACATGATGACTGTAGGGAACTACTGAGATTAAAACAATTAAAACAACAGGAACAAAACAAACATAATGGGACAAAACCAGACAGGAACTGTTCCAAAGAAACACCATCGGATGGAAAATCAAGCATTCCTCCTTTGCCATTAGGCCCATAAGAAATTTGTTCTACATGCAGCCGGGATGAAAAAGAGGAAACAGAAAGAAATGTTAGGAATTTTTGGAATCATGCCTAGCAGAGGGATATTTGGAGTTGCAAAAGTAAAATGATTGATGCAAGTTTCTTTCTTGTGGTTTATTTTTTCTTAGAAGGATGATAAATGGCTCCTTCACATGCCAACAATTACAAGACAGGTAGGATGTTCCTGTTCGTTTGTTTTTATAATATCAAAATTAGGATACAAGATTGATGTTTAAATAAATAAATAAATAAACAATCAGCCTTGTATCCTAATTTCCATATTTGCAAGACTGAAAACAAACACTGGAGAGAGTGCAACAGAAAGCATCTCAAAGGTGTGAGAATCCGTCCACCTTCATTTTTAGGACCCTGAGTCATTTCAGAGCCTGAACAACACAGGATGCAAGAATTGGTTCCTGCACCACCTGTCCTGATGGTGCAGGTTGTCACCTGAAGATGGTCGTAACAACTTCTCTAATGATACTGCTGATACGGAAAGTGCTGACTCTTATGTGAACTGACTTAAGAAATGTAGCAATTATAATTCTTGGGCCTCATCCACTACCACTTGATACATCTTTGATTCTTTGGGCTGGCTCTGGCTTGGGACCTGTGTGACCAGAAAAAATCCTTCAGCAAGTGCTCATCTGGCTTGTAGTAATCCAGAGACCATAGACTAAATGTCTCTGCATTGAGCTATGTTAACAAACAAGTGTAAGGCCACACATGCACTTTCGGTCAACATGTTTTCCTTAATAAACACCTCAATAAATAATCAGCTGGAGCATCTTCTTGTTACTTAAAGCTATAGCTCTTGAGAATCTACTAAATCCTTACAACTCACATTCCTCATGGTTGTAACATGAGAAACGTGCATGGCTGCTGCCAAAAGGAACCACACTTCTGTCATCTCTGAGATCACCATCCCAGTTTGTGGATTGTGATAATCCTGCTCCAAGAAAGTCAGTTTTCATGATGCACTTTGAGGGGGCAACTTATGTCCAGGAGTATGGCTATGTGCAGTGTCCAAGCTCTGCTACTAACTTAGGTCTGGGTCTGTGCTTTTTAAGGATTTTTCTTTTTAAAGGAAGGTCTCTGAAGCTATTTCAGAGGCCACTAGGTAAAAGCATGTGGCAGCTGCAGGTCTGGGCTCAAAAATGCAAGATTTGACTTGCCATAAATTTGGTGTTTGCCAGGATCTGAATTGACTCAGTGAATTAAAATGCATACCCTTTGCAGGGCTTTACAAAATGGGTTTCCCACCCCTTCCAAACAGCATTTCATTTTAGGAAACACCAAAATGCTTTCCCCATGAGAACTCCCTCTGCAAGCATGGATCCAAGCCAGGGAAATCCCATACTCTGCAAAGCTGTGCAGTTCACATGGCACAGGATGAGTGTCCCTTCTGGAAAATGCTCTGTGAAACCAATGGTTACACCACAGCAGCCCCCTGCCATCACCTCATACAGCAGACACATTCATAGCCAAGTGGATCAGCCAGGATCCAGATTCCAACTGCAGGGCTTGAAGAATTAGATGCTCCCATTGCTGCTCAGTGGGAACTGGGCATTTTACTTCCCTGCACATCACTCTTGAGTTTTCATAGCCCCTTCCCTCCATCTCCCCCACCTCCTTGCCCCAAGCTTTCGTGATTAACATGGCAATGGAGATTGAACTGTGTGCATACATTGATTTGCTGAGTGGTTTGGCAAAAGAAAGCAAAGTCAAGCTACTTACCTCAGTGCAGACCCCTTTGGCGTTGCAATACCATAGCCTTTGGAGTCCAAGTTACCTCCCACCTTCATGGTGTCACAAGGCTTCCGCTGCTCGATGTACTCGTTCATCGTGGACTCCAAGAGGTATGCATACTTCCCTTTGGACTTCCTCACCCGGATCATCCCCTCTTCTGTCGTCCTCACAAAAACGGAGGGTTCGGCTGACTTCATGTATGTCCACATCTTCTCAAACACTGCTATTTTGGATCGCTGCGTAGGACAGCAGAAACCCAACAGAAGTGTTAGCAGAGGTTTGGGTGCCCCGAGATTTCCAGCTTGGACTGAACACATACCCACATATCACAGGGGCTAAGGAAGGCAAAAGTGGTCACAGGATGCTAATGAACCTCCTGCCATTTCTGCGCCAGGGCCCAGATCAATCCCTGATTTCTGTCACATATTGGTGTATGGAGTGATTTTGTGGGTCAAATCAAGGGCAAACCAAGCTGGAAATCAGGAGACAGTTTCATCCGGATTTGCTCAGAGAAGCTCACTGGTAACATGTGGAAGCACACCAATATTCCATATTTGTGTTCACAATTACAGAATATCATGTGTACTGGAGTTACTGCCAGTCTTCTGGCAGGTTGTAACATGGTGAGGTAAAAGCAAGAGAAAAAAACAGACCTGAGCTGAAGATGAGAGAGGACGGGCCTGAAGGATGTGTCAAACAAGAGGCTAAGCAAAACGTTTGCATTAAAGTTTCCTTTTTACCCTAAAAAATTCCTTAGTGGAGCCAGCTTCCAGGGTTCCATAGGCGATTTCCGTCTGCTTGGCCAAGTCCTCTGCACTCTCGATGGGAGAAACCATCCTCTCCACAGTGAGGAAGGCAGCCAGGTTAGCTGTGTAGGAGGATATGATGATCAAGGTGAAGAACCACCAGACACCACCAACTATACGGCCGGAGAGAGACCTGGGCACAGAAAGGAGAGTCAAACAGGAGGATGGTGAAGGTCCAGAAGGTGCAGCTTGCTCTTACAGGCCCATCATTTACCTGGTCATTTACCCAAAGTCACATTCTCCAGCCACATCCAGGGAAGCCAGAGATCTGTCTCAGTTCTAAATTTGCTTTTTTTCAAAGTGTCAACATAATGAGAGGGAGGGCATAAAAAATTCACAGTGAAAATTCCTTAGCAATAAGCTGATTGAATTTGCTTTGATTTTTAGTTCCTTTCAGGGTATAGAATGATCTCAAAATAAGACATGGACACAACTGATGAGGAAGTTTAGCTGGGCAGGGCAATGCCCATCCAAACTGCAGCTCTGGCAAGGTCTGTGTTGTGCCAGGTACTCCAGGCAGGAAGGAGCCAGATCAGACACACAGCCCAGCTGTGAACACTTGGTCAGCTCCCCATCACCTGAAGTTCAAAAAAACAAACCTCTGTGTGTTTGTGTAAGACATATTGAAGCTCAGAGAGGAGTTATGGCCTTCATGAATAATTTGCCTACTGGCATTTTCTGTTTTGTATTCAGCAGATGGTTAGGCAAGATGTTCATAATAATGCTTTAAAATCTAGGTATTTTGCACTGACTGCAATCAACTAGCCAATTATCAAGCAAATAAGTCAAGCAGGCAATGATGTATATTAGAATATTTTCAAATAATTTTGAAAACTGGAAGATAATTTTAGAATGATGTCAGTATCCATGCATTCTCTCTAAATTATTTATATGCTCCTTCTCTAGATGCAGAGCCCCATCCCAGATAGAAGGTAACCTGCTATTTGAGAAAGCCAGACCTGCCTGTGAGAAACACCATTTATTTCTCCATGGGGGACCATGTCTCAGTATTGCCTTTCTGCTCCTCTGAGTCACTCCAAAGAAATATGGTTTATGGGATGGTAACAGAGATAGCCCAGTCCAGCTAAGGGCTAAAGTTAGGTGAGATAAATGCTTCCCATCTGCAGAGAATACTCAGCCTGCAGGACTGTCAGCACAGATGACTTTACCTTTTGTTTCATATTTGGAGAGGGATTGGGGAGGGAGGCAGCTATGGATTCAGCTCACACATCTTCAGATTGATGAGGAAGAGGAAGAAAATTAGCGTGGATGATGTGTGCTCAGGGAAGGAAGTGCTCAGAAAAGGCACAGAGGCATTAAACAAAAGTAACCAGATAATGTCAAATGCAACAATCTCTGCTGATGAAGGCCACTTTGAGCTGGCAAAATCCATTTGCATGGCAAATAATCACATTCATCTCCAGCTGCAAATTACATAGCCTTTTCTTCCTGACGAAGCTGGGATATTTCTGCGACTTGTTTCAATCCCTTCAGCAGCAGTCAGCCGGATTCCTGTCTCTAGACCCTCGATATCCTGGAGATATTCATTACCAGCTAATCCTACAGGGGCTGCTTGCTGTCAGCTGCAGATGGCTTATGCTTCCCAGCTCCACACCTGGCACTGAAAGCATGGAAAAGTAACTGTGCAGTTTGGAGACCAGGAGGTAACAGGGAGGGATGGGGAAAGAGGGAGAGGGGGCTGTAGTTTCTTTCCCCTGGGAGACAGATGGATGCAGACAGGATGCATGTGTGTATGGACCAGTCTCATCTGGGCAGTGTCTGCTGCTGCTGCTGCTGGTCATTCCTCCTCACGGCATGAGATGCTGTGAGGAGGTGAATGCTCACTCTCATAGACTGTGGAGGAGAGAGATCAGCATCTTGTTGGAGCTACCAGCATGGCTAGGGCTTCATGTGTATGATGTTTTGTTGCAGACACTGCTAGTGGGCAATGTTTGCCCTCATTGATTGACTCGGAGCTAGAAGCTGTGAATCAAAACTGCTGTAAACACACAGCAGAGAAAACACTCAGCATATGGGCTCTGCAGGACATTGTCTTTTTGCTCCATAGCTGTGTAGCATTTAACAAGAGGGAGAGCTGGCCAGTGATGGAGGCTCTGGGAGGACACAGCAATACAATGAAGAATGTAATAATAGCCATTATAAACACCACACAAACAGATGCAAACCCACGTGACACCCCCACGGCTCAAGAGCAGTGAACACAGATTAAACACAACAAGTTGGATTTTGCTGCCTAACCATATGGCCTATTTAGACTCTGAGCCAATGCCTGTCACTGTTTCACCAAGTCAAGTGCTTGGAAAGGCAATATCCATTACCATCTTATTCTGTTGCTTCTGCAGACCAAGCAGGAGAACAGCAGTGTCTTCATCATGGGACACATTTGCTAAAGTGCTTTTGTAGTTTAGGAGATAGTGTCCCATTTCTAGAAGTGACTTCAACACTAGGGACCTAAAAGCCTGGTCAAAAACCAGTGTGACTTAGAATTTTTATGCTCTAGTAAGAGCAGTCACAGAGGCAAAGGTAGAGCTTGTAGTTTTAAGTCACTTTTAGAGTTTGAAAGTCTCACTCTGGAGGTAAGTAATAGAAAATGACCTTCCACTTGACTAACAAATCAGCAGCTTAAGCCCTAGCTCAAGTTCATTTCTCTTCACTAATGGGCAGTATGGGGTTTAAATCCTCTTGCATGGAGAATTTATGTGTCCCCATACCTGCTCCAGTGTAACAGGAGGGCAATCAGCTCTGCTGTGTGGAATCAAGTTACTAACTCTGTTACAGAGCTAAGGTGAGATGGAGCACACTGGTTAATACTTTAAAGATATGCTAGAGTTCAGATGTTTGGATTTGTGTGTTTAACCTCTGGATTTATTCACATTCTTTGTCATAGTAATACTTGCAAATAGCAGGATTTAAAAAATATTTTTGGCTAAAATAATCAAGGATAACAGTGAAAGAGACTTTAATGAATTCTGGGATGCAGAAAGGGATGAAATATCCAGATAGACTAGACTGTACATTTTTCAACCTGTGTTATTCTTTCTGCACCTAGAGTCTTCTTTTCTACACAATCCAAATTAAGACCTTTTGGTTTCTTCAATCCCTGCCTGTGCTGGATAAAATCACACACATACCCCCACTCTCTCCTGACTTGCTCCTCACAGAGCAGGATGCTTCTTTCCAGCATTACCCTTGCAGGAGTAAGAAATAAATTCTCTGCCTTCATTATCCACAGGGCACAATCTACTTAAAACTAGAGCTGGCTGGGAACCAGAATTTCAGTACTGTGGAAAACTCTGAAATTGTAAATAAAACCTTAATATTCTCAATTGGAATGCGAAGATAATGGTCACAAATATCCTCTAAAAGTAGCACTCCCAAAATGGTTGGTTTGGCTCTGTCCAAGCTTTGCCTTTTTCTATTACTTACAGTTTAATTTCTGAAAGGCTAAATGGTGTAATTTTAACATGGTAAACAATTTTTTTTTCTGCTTTCTCGTTACAAACAATTTTCTTTCAGCTTTTATAATACATTAAACCCTCACATGTATAATTTAGAAGATAATTCTGGGAGGTGCTATTTTATATCTGTCTAATGAAAAAAGTGTAGATGACGAAGCTGAAATAATTTTTACTTTCTTTGAACCTTTCCTTGCTAAAGCAACTGTATTTTGCCAGCAGAAAACAGAAACGATTTGGAAGTTCCCTTTGTTCCCATGAAGAGATTTGTTTTAATGTTTTAGCCTTAGCATCCGTGGAGTCTTCACAGAAGAAGAAAATCATGCAACTATAATCTCATTTCTTAAAACAAAATGCAATCCTTGATCAAACAATTTGCTCTTTGATCTTATCCCTCACGGAAGGTAGGAAAAGCTGACAGGAGTTTGCCTCTGCTTTGCCATATTATTAGAAGAGCACGAAACATTTTTGCAAAAAGCATTAAGATCATCAGAAAATATACAGAGTAAACCTCACTGGAAAACCGTTAAAGCACCATCTCAGTTCTCTCTCACTCCTCCCTTCCCCCCACCGAAATCCATTTCTTATGGAGAATTACACCTAAACTGACAGTGTTTTAATTAGAAGTGCATATCTGGGATTCTAAAGCCATAGTTGCTTTGGGAGGATTTCCCAGATTTGCTGTTAAATTCAAGTCTAATAAAGGCTCACTTAGTCAACTGACATATTTGTCACTGAATGAATTTATGCAAAACTGTTGAAAGAAAAGCTCTTCTGTGCTTGTGCTACTGATTGTGGGTCAAACCCACTTTTGGTCTTCTACCCACACAAAGCCTCTGATCTCCAGCACTACTCTGTGAATTTGGTATGATCTAGACAATTTCATGGTTGTATCTGAAGTCTGACTTGGTAGTGGGTTAGTTGCAAATATTTAGCTCCAGTTTTGCTCTTATTTTAAACAAATTTTCAACATTAAACTCTATCAACGTAAAGAGCTTTCCTTTTTCTCTGTGTCACAGGCAATCTGGCATGATTGGTCTCACCACTTTCTCTCTGACCCTGACATGAGCCCCAGATATGCTCAAAAAGTCTGTGATTAGTCAAAGACAGAGGAAGAAACTCAGTGTGGGGTTGTGGAGCTGGGAACAGCTCTGTGTGCATCCATCATGCACAGACTGCAGAGCTCTTACCCTCTCACACTCTGCTACGCCATGGAAAGTTTTGAACGAGTTAACAACTGTTTGTCACAAAACTGGAGTGATTATATTACATGATTCTCTGTCCATGATGCATTATTAATTTCCTCACCATATTAGTTTGCTTTTACTTGTTATTAAACCCTAACCCTTGGTACATGAGTCTAGAAATCTGCTCTTTCTCATAATTTCACACAAAGCATGACAGGTAATCTGACCCCCAAAGCTACAATATGGATTGCACAATCCTAGCACAAGTCTTTTTAAGAACAGACCTTGGGGTCGCTCACTGTTTAAATATTGCAACAACTGAACATGTCATCTGCAAATACACAGAATCTCCCCAGATTCAACAGAAGGATATATATGTGTGAGACTTTAATTACAAGTCATCGTTTATTTACTGTTTCTTTCTGCCTAAGCTAATGGCCTCGGACAGCAGTCCATGCTCCCTCTCCTAC